TATAGACCTTTTCACATGGAGGCCTTGACGGATATAGACCTTTTCACATCGAGGCCTTGACGGATATAGACCTTTTCACATCGAGGCCTTGACGGATATAGACCTTTTCACATCGAGGCCTTGACGGATATAGGCCTTTTCACATCGAGGCCTTGACGGATATAGACCTTTCACATGGAGGCCTTGACGGATATAGACCTTTTCACATCGAGGCCTTGACGGATATAGGCCTTTTCACATCGAGGCCTTGACGGATATAGACCTTTTCACATGGAGGCCTTGACGGATATAGACCTTTTCACATGGAGGCCTTGACGGATATAGACCTTTTCACATCGAGGCCTTGACGGATATAGACCTTTTCACATGGAGGCCTTGACGGATATAGGCCTTTTCACATCGAGGCCTTGACGGATATAGGCCTTTTCACATGGAGGCCTTGACGGATATAGACCTTTTCACATCGAGGCCTTGACGGATATAGACCTTTTCACATCGAGGCCTTGACGGATATAGACCTTTTCACATCGAGGCCTTGACGGATATAGGCCTTTTCACATCGAGGCCTTGACGGATATAGGCCTTTTCACATCGAGGCCTTGACGGATATAGGCCTTTTCACATCGAGGCCTTGACGGATATAGGCCTTTTCACATCGAGGCCTTGACGGATATAGGCCTTTTCACATCGCTGCCTTAAATCATGTTTTGGGTAAACAAACCTGTCATCTCAAGATAACTCAAGATAGCCTACCAGGAATATCTCCAGTACGTATACACCAACGTTGCCACAACTTTACCACAACTTAGTCACAATATTGCCACACCTTTACAACAACTTTAGTCACAACATTGCCACAATGTTGGCACACTATAATAACGTAACCACAACATTGTTACGTAATCATTGATGGGGCAATGGGTGTAAGGGAGCCAGAGGAGCAGATAACGAATAAGGGGCAGGGGAAGATAACCCAGGGGATAGCAGATAAGAAATGAGGGGCAAGAGAGCCAGGGGGGGGGGGGGAAGGGAGGGAGTTAAATAATAAAGGGCGGAGAAGACCTAGGGAGCAGATAACGAATGAGGGGCGAAGGGGGAGTTAATTAATGAGGGGCAGGTAGGGAGACAGCAAATGAGGGAGGGAGGGAACAATGAGAGGGGGGAGAAGGGAGAACATGGGTAAGGGAGGGCAGGAGAGTTAAGGGAGGGTAAGGGAGGGCAGGAGAGTTAAGGGAGGGCAGGAGAGTTAAGGGAGGGTAAGGGAGGGCAGGAGAGTTAAGGGAGGGTAAGGGAGGGCAGGAGAGTTAAGGGAAGGCAGGAGAGTTAAGGGAGGGTAAGGGAGGGCAGGAGAGTTAAGGGAGGGCAGGAGAGTTAAGGGAGGGTAAGGGAGGGCAGGAGAGTTAAGGGAGGGCAGGAGAGTTAAGGGAGGGTAAGGGAGGGCAGGAGAGTTAAGGGAGGGCAGGAGAGTTAAGGGAGGGTAAGGGAGGGCAAGAGAGTTAAGGGAGGGTAAGGGAGGGCAGGAGAGTTAAGGGAGGGTAAGGGAGGGCAGGAGAGTTAAGGGAGGGTAAGGGAGGGCAGGAGAGTTAAGGGAGGGTAAGGGAGGGCAGGAGAGTTAAGGGAGGGTAAGGGAGGGCAGGAGAGTTAAGGGAGGGTAAGGGAGGGCAGGAGAGTAATGGTCGCGCTCTGTGGGACAACAAACTAGGACACCAGCAGGAAATTCACCTTTAAACCTTTTTTTTGGAGTCTTGAAGGAAAACGTGGAGGGAGGTTATCTTCTTGAGATTATCTTGAGATGATTTTGGGGCTTTAGTGTCCCCGCGGCCTGGTCCTCCACCAGGCCTCCACCCCCAGGAAGCAGCCCGTGACAGCTGACTAACACCCAGGTACCTATTTTACTGCTAGGTAACAGGGGCATAGGGTGAAAGAAACTCTGCCCATTGTTTCTCGCTGGCGCCTGGGATCGAACCCGGGACCACAGGATCACAAGTCCAGCGTGCTGTCTGCTCGGTCGACCGGCTCCCATAAGGAGACGCCATAGGCGAGAAAAATATCCAGAGATGACCTTCTGGAATCGAACTTACACACTTCCAGGAAAACACATCGTTAAAAACTGTCAGACTTCAATTCGCAAACATAATAAAATATCTAAGAATAACCCTCTTGGTTACCGGACCAACCTGGTTGTAGTAGATGTGGGCCTGCTGCGGGCCGCTCCAAGCAACAGCCTGGTGGACCAAGCTCTCGCAAGTCGAGCCTGGCCTCGGGCCGGGCTTGGGGAGTAGAAGAACTCCCAGAACCCCATCAACCAGGTATATGTGGGCCTGCGGGCCGCTCCAAGCAACAGCCTGGTGGACCAAACTCTCACAAGTCAAGCCTGGCCTCGAGCCGGGCTTGGGCAGTAGAAGAACTCCCAGAACCCCATCAACCAGGTATATGTGGGCCTGCGGGCCGCTCCAAGCAACAGCCTGGTGGACCAAGCTCTCACAAGTCAAGCCTGGCCTCGGGCCGGGCTTGGGGAGTAGAAGAACTCCCAGAACCCCATCAACCAGGTATATGTGGGCCTGCTGCGGGCCGCTCCAAGCAACAGCCTGGTGGACCAAGCTCTCGCAAGTCGAGCCTCGCCTCGGGCCGGGCTTGGGGAGTAGAAGAACTCCCAGAACCCCATCAACAAGGTATATGTGGGCCTGCGGGCCGCTCCAAGCAACAGCCTGGTGGACCAAACTCTCACAAGTCAAGCCTGGCCTCGGGCCGGGCTTGGGGAGTAGAAGAACTCCCAGAACCCCATCAACCAGGTATATGTGGGCCTGCGGGCCGCTCCAAGCAACAGCCTGGTGGACCAAGCTCTCACAAGTCGAGCCTGGCCTCGGGCCGGGCTTGGGGAGTAGAAATACTCTCAGAACCCTCTACAGGTATGTTCTAGGTTATAAGGAGAGCTAAGTTCACTTAAGGAGATAAAATAGGCGAAATTCTTAAAAGAACAATATGAACCAATGCAATGCAATATAAAATCGAGTCTTCCACTTTCTAATGAAAGTGGAAGACTGATAACTTCATTGTAAATTTTACCCAACCACTTGGGCTGGACGGTAGAGAGATGGTCTCCCATCATGCAGTGTTCAATCCCCGACTGTCTAAACGATTGGGTACCATTTCTTCCCCCTGTCCCATCCCAAATCCTTATCCTGATCCCTTCCAAGTGATATATAGTCATAATGGCTAGGTGCTTTCTCCTGATAGGCGAACAAAACAAATATCAGAACATCTCAAATGCTCCACTCTCTCCCAAGAACGACGAGGACGGCCATGTAGGGAAACAGAAATGATCGAGCTGAAGCTGAGAGAATCATATACAATTCTCGCGAGACATTACAAGCAAAAGGCCATAAATGACCCTCCAAACACACACCGAAACTACGACGTTGGTACAACGTTCGAACAAGTTTTAACACCTCCTAACCAGTTATAACAACCAATATAGCAAGTTGTAACAACGTTCTAATACGTCATAAACATGTTAAGCCAAGATGTAACAACTTTATTACAAGTTGTAACAAGCGGAAAATAGAGACAGTTTCGGTTTGTGTTTCCAGGGGAAAGAGGGGAACCCGAAATACTTTTTCTAGTATGCCAAAACTAGAACAAAAACTGCATTAGGGCCCTTGCGCAAGGGTGATGGATCTTTCACAGATGACAACAAAGAAATGAAACACTGAGACTTCAGTACGATTCTGCTTTCAATGAATCCCTGACCACATTGAAGATCAATGATCTAAATGAATTCTTCATGAACGTGACACAAACATGGAACCACATATCAGATGTCACCCTAACCTCAGTGGACTTTGAAGTAGCCATAGACAACATGCCCATGAGTAGTAGGGATGACGACGTATGGGCCCCTTTTTCCAAAGTTCGGCGAATCCGGTGTGCCATATCAGCCCTTTTTCCCAGAAAAAGTTCGACGAATACGGTGTGCCATATCGGCCCTTTTTCCCAGAAAAAGTTCGGCGAATACGGTGTGCCATATCGGCCCTTTTTCCCAGAAAAAAAGGGCCTATACGTCGTCATCCCTACTACTCCCATGCACTCTGTACCAGGCCCAGACTCCTGGAATTCTATAAACCTCAAGAACTTCAAAACATCACTATCACGGGCCCTTAACATCTTTTGGAGACGGAGCCAATAGATACTGGCGTCATCCCTGACATACTTAAAACAGCTGAGATCGCGCCACTTCACAAAGGAGGTAGTAAAGCGGAGATCGCGCCACTTCACAAAGGAGGTAGTAAAGCGGAGATCGCGCCACTTCACAAAGGAGGTAGTAAAGCGGAGATCGCGCCACTTCACAAAGGAGGTAGTAAAGCGGAGATCGCGCCACTTCACAAAGGAGGTAGTAAAGCGGAGATCGCGCCACTTCACAAAGGAGGTAGTAAAGCGGAGATCGCGCCACTTCACAAAGGAGGTAGTAAAGCAGATGCACAAAATTATAGACCAATAGCTATAACCTCACACATAAAAATCTTTGAATGAGTGCTAAGCAAGATTACAAGTCGCGTGGAATCACATCAACTACATCCCGCCAAACACACACCGAAACTACGACGTTGGTACAACGTTCGAGCAAGTTTTAACACCTCCTAACCAGTTATAACAACCAATATAGCAAGTTGTAACAACGTTCTAATACGTCATAAACACGTTAAGCCAAGATGTAACAACTTTATTACAAGTTGTAACAAGCTGAAAATAGAGATAGTTACAGGCGATGAGTCACAATAACGTGGCTGAAGTATGTTGACCAGACCACACACTAGAAATTGAAAGGACGACGACGTTTCGGTCCGTCCTGGACCATTCTCAAGTCGATTGAGAATGGTCTCAATCGACTTGAGAATGGTCCAGGACGGACCGAAACGTCGTCGTCCCTTCAATTTCTAGTGTGTGGTCTGGTCAACACAGATAGTTACAGTTTGTGTTTCCAGGGTATAACCCTGGACAACATGGGTACAGAACCGGGCGCTCTTGCCTCTCACAGTTGCTAGATCACTATGACATCGCCTAAGGTGCCATGGAAGACAAGCAAAACGCAGATGTAATATACACAGACTTTGCAAAAGCTTTCGACAAATGTGACCATGGCGTTATTACGAACAAAATGCGTGGAAAGGGAGGGAATTACTAGCAAAGTAAAGAGATACCTGGTTGATACCTGCTTGATGGGGTTCTGGGAGTTCTTCTACTCCCCAAGCCCGGCCCGAGGCCAGGCTTGACTTGTGAGAGTTTGATCCACCAGGCTGTTGCTTCCAGGCAGATGGATCTTCAACTTCCAAACCAACACAACGCAGAGTGTAATAGTCAACACAGTAAAATCTGAATCCTCTACTGTGAGGCAGGAGTGCAAAATACCATTAGCACGGTACTCTCTTAATAAAGGGGGGTAGAAATAGCCTAAGCTACTCTATCCCTTTGAGATGTATTTATTGCTTATCTCAATAAACATACTTCAACTTGAACTTGAATTCGGAATGAAGCCTTCGACAGAGGGACATCACTCAGCCAGCAAGCACCGCAGACATCACCCGACTTCACAAGGGAGGTTGTAAATCGCTGGAAACAATTTACAAACCGGTCGTACTCGCATTCCATATTGCGGTGTTTTAAGAAGGTACCAAAACGCCAGCTTAACAGTTAAATGGATAAGAATGAGTTATACAATAGAAGTTAACACTGGTTTTTGAGCAGGATGATCTTGCTTTACACAACTACTCGATCACCACCACAACATTGGTTGAGACACTACAACCAAGGGAAGGGCTATCAGGAGAAAGTGCCAAGCCGGTAGGTCTATATAGCGCTTGGAAGGGGTCAGGATAAGGATTTGGCATTGGACGGGAGGGGGGGGGGGAGGAGTGAGTTTTCAGGGGAAAGCGCCAAGCCATTACGACTATATAGCACTTGGAAGGGGCTCTTAGGATAAGGATTTGGGATGGGATGGGGGGGGGGGGAGGAATAGTGCCCAACTAACTTGGACGGTCGGGGATCGAACGTCGACCTGCACGAAGCGAGACCGTCGCGCTACCATCCAGCTTAAGTGGTTGGGGCATTAGAACCAAGCCAAATTCATTCAGAACCTTGTATACCACATATGTAAGACCAATCCTGGAGTATGCGGCCCCAGCATGGAGCCCGTACCTTGTCAAGCACAAGACGAAGCTGGAAAAAGTTTAGAGGTATGCCACTAGACTAGTCCCAGAACTAAGAGGCATGAGTTACGAGGAAAGGCTTCGTGAAATGCACCTTACGACACTGGAAGACAGAAGCGTAAAGGGAGACATGATCACTACCTACAAAATTCTCAGAGGAATTGACAGGGGTAGATAAAGATAAATTGTTTAATACGGGTGGTACGCGAACAAGGGGACACAGATGGAAACTGAGTACCCAAATGAGCCACAGGGACGTTAGAAAGAACTTTTTCAGTGTCAGAGTAGTTGACAAATGGAATGTACTAGTCAGTGATGTGGTGGAGGCTGACCCCATACACAGTTTCAAATATAGATATGATACAAGAGCCCAGTAGGCTCAGGAACCTGTACACCAGTTCAATGACAGTTGAGAGGCGGGACCAAAGAGCCAAAGCTCAACCCCCCCCCCCGCAGCAAGCACAACTAGACGAGTACGCACACGCGCGCGCACACACACCGCCTACATCAACCAATAAAACTATCTTGTCTGAATATAACTCAGCACGAAGTCAGTTATATATGCCGTGATAACCCTCACATTCTGACCTGTATCCAGATATAGCCCGGGTGTGTGGGGGCTACTCAGATATAATCCAGGTTTGGGGGGCTACCCAGATATAATCCAGGTTTGGGGGGCTACCCAGATATAATCCAGGTTTGGGGGGCTACCCAGATATAATCCAGGTTTGGGGGGCTACCCAGATATAATCCAGGTTTGGGGGGCTACCCAGATATAATCCAGGTTTGGGGGGCTACCCAGATATAATCCAGGTTTGGGGGCTATCCAGATATAATCCAGGTTTGGGGGCTACCCCAGATATAATCCAGGTTTGGTGCCTACCCAGATATAATCCAGGTTTGGGGGCTACCCCAGATATAATCCAGGTTTGGGGGCTATCCAGATATAATCCAGGTGTGTGGGGGCTACTCAGATATAATCCAGGTTTGGGGTCTACCCAGATATAATCCAGGTGTGTGGGGGCTATCCAGATATAATCCAGGTGTGTGGGGGCTATCCAGATATAATCCAGGTGTGTGGGGGCTACTCAGATATAATCCAGGTTTGGTGCCTACCCAGATATAATCCAGGTTTGGGGTCTACCCAGATATAATCCAGGTTTGGGGTCTACCCAGATATAATCCAGGTTTGGGGGCTACTCAGATATAATCCAGGTTTGGGGGCTACCCAGATATAATCCAGGTGTGTGGGGGCTATCCAGATATAATCCAGGTGTGTGGGGGCTACCCAGATATAATCCAGGTGTGTGGGGGCTATCCAGATATAATCCAGGTGTGTGGGGGCTACCCAGATATAATCCAGGTGTGTGGGGGCTATCCAGATATAATCCAGGTGTGTGGGGGCTATCCAGATATAATCCAGGTGTGTGGGGGCTACCCAGATATAATCCAGGTTTGGGGTCTACCCAGATATAATCCAGGTTTGGGGGCTACCCCAGATATAATCCAGGTTTGGGGGCTCCCCAGATATAATCCAGGTTTGGGGGCTACCCAGATATAATCCAGGTTTGGGGTCTACCCAGATATAATCCAGGTTTGGGGTCTACCCAGATATAATCCAGGTGTGTGGGGGCTATCCAGATATAATCCAGGTTTGGGGGGCTACCCAGATATAATCCAGGTTTGGGGGCTACCCAGATATAATCCAGGTGTGTGGGGGCTATCCAGATATAATCCAGGTGTGTGGGGGCTATCCAGATATAATCCAGGTGTGTGGGGTCTACCCAGATATAATCCAGGTTTGGGGGCTACCCCAGATATAATCCAGGTTTGGGGGCTACCCAGATATAATCCAGGTTTGGGGGCTACCCAGATATAATCCAGGTTTGGGGGGCTATCCAGATATAATCCAGGTTTGGGGGGCTATCCAGATATAATCCAGGTTTGGGGGCTACCCAGATATAATCCAGGTTTGGGGGCTACTCAGATATAATCCAGGTTTGGGGGCTACTCAGATATAATCCAGGTTTGGGGGCTACCCCAGATATAATCCAGGTTTGGGGGCTACCCCAGATATAATCCAGGTTTGGGGGCTACCCAGATATAATCCAGGTGTGTGTGGGCTATCCAGATATAATCCAGGTTTGGGGGCTACCCCAGATATAATCCAGGTTTGGGGGCTACCCCAGATATAATCCAGGTTTGGGGGCTACCCAGATATAATCCAGGTTTGGGGTCTACCCAGATATAATCCAGGTTTGGGGTCTACCCAGATATAATCCAGGTGTGTGGGGGCTATCCAGATATAATCCAGGTGTGTGGGGGCTATCCAGATATAATCCAGGTGTGTGGGGGCTACCCAGATATAATCCAGGTTTGGGGGGCTACCCAGATATAATCCAGATTTGGGGGCTACCCAGATATAATCCAGGTTTGGGGGCTACCCAGATATAATCCAGGTTTGGGGGGCTATCCAGATATAATCCAGGTTTGGGGGGCTATCCAGATATAATCCAGGTTTGGGGGCTACCCAGATATAATCCAGGTTTGGGGGGCTACCCAGATATAATCCAGGTTTGGGGGGCTACCCAGATATAATCCAGGTTTGGGGCTACCCAGATATAATCCAGGTTTGGGGGCTACCCAGATATAATCCAGGTTTGGGGGGCTATCCAGATATAATCCAGGTTTGGGGGGCTACCCAGATATAATCCAGGTTTGGGGGCTACCCCAGATATAATCCAGGTTTGGGGGGCTACCCAGATATAATCCAGGTTTGGGGGCTACCCAGATATAATCCAGGTTTGGGGGCTACCCAGATATAATTCAGGTTTGGGGGCTACCCAGATATAATCCAGGTTTGGGGGCTACCCAGATATAATCCAGGTTTGGGGGCTACCCCAGATATAATCCAGGTTTGGGGGCTACCCAGATATAATCCAGGTTTGGGGGCTACCCAGATATAATCCAGGTTTGGGGGCTACCCCAGATATAAAACAGGTTTGGGGGCTATCCAGATATAATCCAGGTGTGTGGAAAATCAGAGAAATACTAATTAGAATGGAATTTGCAATTAATGCCCAAAGTAGACTCACTCCCGGATTTGCAATGCCCACGGATATACCCCAAGGATCTGCTGTGCCCAAACATACCCACTTGACGGTTATTGACCTAAAACGATGCCCAAACCCCACAATTTAGAAGTGGAGAAATAACGACGTTTCGGTCCACCCTGGACCATTATAATAGTGGTACTAATGGGTATTTATCAGTTTCACACTGGACTGTACGTTGGGCCTTGGTTAATGGTCCAGGACGGACCGAAACGTCGTACGTCGTGAGCATGTCTCCCCCGGCAGTTGCCAGGGTCGTGTGTGTCCCCCTTCCATTGCAACTGCCCCACAGTTGCAGGGGGGGGGGGGCACGCCCCAGCCAAGGTGTGGAACAACCCCACGACAAATAAGGCAGAGAATGATGATAGATCGAGGGTCCTACAAGTAAAGTGTGGATAAGAAAAATATTTGCTTGTGAGCGGCATACGGCATACCCTTAGGCAGGGGGCACTCACCAGTGGGTACTCCACCAGTGGGTACTCCACCAGGGGGTACTCCACCAGTGGGTACTCCACCAGAGGGTACTCCACCAGTGGGTACTCCACCAGGGGGTACTCCACCAGTGGGTACTCCACCAGAGGGTACTCCACCAGTGGGTACTCCACCAGGGGGTACTCCACCAGTGGGTACTCCACCAGAGGGTACTCCACCAGTGGGTACTCCACCAGAGGGTACTCCACCAGAGGGTACTCCACCAGTGGGTACTCCACCAGTGGGTACTCCACCAGAGGGTACTCCACCAGTGGGTACTCCACCAGAGGGTACTCCACCAGAGGGTACTCCACCAGTGGGTACTCCACCAGTGGGTACTCCACCAGGGGGTACTCCACCAGTGGGTACTCCACCAGAGGGTACTCCACCAGTGGGTACTCCACCAGGGGGTACTCCACCAGTGGGTACTCCACCAGAGGGTACTCCACCAGTGGGTACTCCACCAGGGGGTACTCCACCAGTGGGTACTCCACCAGTGGGTACTCCACCAGTGGGTACTCCACCAGAGGGTACTCCACCAGAGGGTACTCCACCAGAGGGTACTCCACCAGTGGGCACTCCACCAGTGGGCACTCCACCAGTGGGCACTCCACCAGTGGGCACTCCACCAGTGGGCACTCCACCAGAGGGGGTAATGCGGGCACTCTGCCGACAGCACAGTTTAGTGCCAACAGACCACTGACACACTCCTCATATATTATGGCACTATCTACCCACTACTCCACTGACAAGTCCCTCACTTAACCAGCACCTCCCTAACACTGCCACCCCCCCACTCCATATCCCCCTTTGCCCCCTTTGTACTGCTACCCACTATCCTACCACCCTTTACCCCCCCCCCCCCCCAACGCTCTTAAAACACTCTCCACGTTAACAAAGTTAGTAACTCTTCCCAAGTTGCAAGTTTTGCCACCATTCCGTCGCCTCTTGCTCGACGCCTCAAGGCGAACACAAAATAATTACAGACCCACACACCAAATGGAAAATGAATGAGAACGCTTTCTCAAGTGTCATAATAACTGGTCTGGCGCCACTCACGCGCCAGTTAAAGGTGACTGTTTAAATAGTTTCCATTTTTCGTTTTTGTGCCCCCCACCTTTTAACCTCTCCAGGGGTAAAAATGTGTTTGTAAATGGCTTAAATGGTGTTGGTATTGTGTGGGGTCAGAGACGGAGGTGCTGGGAGGGAGGGAGGACGGTCAGAGACCCGAGTCGAGTTTCTTGCTTCTTTTGGAGGAAGAAGTGGGGGGGGGGGAGGAAGAGGCGGAAAGAGGGGAAAGGGGAATAAAGAGGGAGAGGGAGAAGGGGCAAGAAAGCGGGCGAATGATATAAAACCGAATCGCTAGAATTGCTAGGAATAAAATATTGAAATATTGCTAAAGTTATTTATATTATTATTATGAGTTTTAAAATATATTTGGTCGAGTGGGGAGAGAGTGTGCGCGCGCCACCCTAGTGGCATTGGTTCGAATCTTGACGGGGCGGGATGATTGGATTTACTGTTGAGACATCTGTAGCTTGATGAATCGTCAAGCCTGCTCGGTCTCGCTTGCTACACTCACACACACACACACACACACACACACACACACACACACACACACACACACACACTTGGAAGACAGAAGAGTTAGGGGGGACATGATCACCACATTCAAGATCCTCAAGGGAATTGACAGGGTTGATAAAGACAGGCTGTTTAACACAAGGGGCACACGCACTAGGGGACACAGGTGGAAACTGAGTGCCCAAATGAGCCACAGAGATATTAGAAAGAACTTTTTTTAGTGTCAGAGTGGTTGACAAATGGAATGCATTAGGCAGTGATGTGGTGGAGGCTGACTCCATACACAGTTTCAAGTGTAGATATGATAGAGCCCAATAGGCTCAGGAACCTGTACACCTGTTGATTGACAGTTGAGAGGCGGGACCAAAGAGCCAGAGCTCAACCCCCGCAAGCACAACTAGGTGAGTACACACACACACACACACACACACACACACACACACACACACACACACACACACACAGTATATACCTAAATATTCTTCACAAACTAACCTATATCAACGTTCCTTTCACTTCAACTTGCCTAGACGAGCTCTGACAAATCACCACCATCAATGCCCCCCCCCTTCCTTTTCCTTCCTCCTCTCCTCCTCTCTTCCATCTCCCTTCTTCGTCGTGGTGATTCATAACACTGGTGGCTCAGTCAAGCCTGCTCACTCCACACATGATCACCCCCAAAACCGGATTATTGTCAAGCCTGAACGGCCGCCTAAACGGGGAGTGCGCTGTCTCTAATGCCTAGTCCGGCCGTCAGTCTACTGCCTTTGATGAATTGGGCTGTGCCCTATTAGGGTGGGCTAAATGCAATGGTATGGGTGTCGGTGATGATTTGATGAGACTGCCTCGTGATTGTGTGATTGGGGGTTTTGGGCGTTTGGTGGTGGATTGGTGTGTAGGGGGGAGGGAGGGGGGGGGCCTGGTGGTGGATTGGTGTGTAGGGGGGAGGGAGGGAGGGGGGAGCCTGGTGGAAGATTGGTGTGTAGGGGGGGGGAGGGAGGGGGGAGCCTGGTGGAAGATTGGTGTGTAGAGGGGGAGAGGGGGGGGGCTGGTGGAGGATTGGTGTACGAGTAGTCAACGTGTTCAGCATTTTTGTATGTAATCTAATTATACAAAATCGTGATGGTGTTAATACATAACAAAGATGGTGAATATTGTGTATCTGGCAGTGGGGGAAAATACTCATCTCACTTCCCTACTCAGATGAGTAAGGGAGTGAGATGAGGCCGCTCCAAGCAACAGCCTGGTGGACCAAACTCTCACAAGTCGAGCCTGGCCTCGGGCCGGGCTTGGGGAGTAGAACAACTCCCAGAACCCCATCAATCAGGCATCAACCAGGAGTGAGATCAGATGAGTAGCAGTTGTTCACCTGAACAAGAGAGGTGAACACAGAGAGCCCACACTCAATGAGTGACTTCACACAAGTTGACGCGTGCACTCAAACGCACTCACGCACTTGCTATTTGTGAGTGCACGTTCGTTTGTGTACGTTCTTCACTCTCCATTCCTCACCTCCGTCCTTCCCATGTACACGTTCCTCCCACCACAAGTGCCGGTCGTATCACACTGAGCCGTATAAAGCGGTTGGGCAATGTTGTGGTGGTCGGGTGTGTGTGTGTGTGTGTGTGTGATCCTTCTACTGTACTCACCTAGGTGTGTGTGTGTGTGTGTGTGTGTGTGTGTGTGTGTGTGTGTGTGTGTGTGTGTGTGTGTGTGTGTGATCCTTCTACTGTACTCACCTAGGTGTGTGTGTGTGTGTGTGTGTGTGTGTGTGATCCTTCTACTGTACTCACCTAGTTGTGTGCTTGCGGGGGGGTTGAGCTCTGGCTCTTTAGGCCCGCCTCTCAACTGTCAATCCCCGGACGCTTAGGACTACGAATCCCGAACGCTGTCTACTCAGCCGTCAGACCTGTTTGTGTACTGAGTATTGTTGGGGAGGTTATCTTGAGATGATTTCGGGGCTTTAGTGTCCCCGCGGCCCGGTCCTCGACCAGGCCTCCACCCCCAGGAAGCAGCCCGTGACAGCTGACTAACACCCAGGTACCTATTTTACTGCTAGGTAACAGGGGCTTAGAGTGAAAGAAACTCTGCCCATTGTTTCTCGCCGGCGCCTGGGATCGAACCCAGGACGACAGGATCACAAGTCCAGCGTGCAGTCCGCTCGGCCGACCGGCTCCGGTATTGCTGGGCATTGTATTAGCGTAGACACCTAGTTGTGTCTCAGCTAAATGTACATTTGTCCCAGTCGAGTTGTTCAGAGGCTCTAGTTCTTGGCCCCCCAGTCAGGCTCAGTGCTGTAATAGCTATTGCAGTAATTTATGTGATTCCAGCATGTGGGAAGCCGGTCGGCCGAGCGGACAGCACGCGGGCCTTGTGATCCTGTGGTCCTGGGTTCAATCCCAGGCGCCGGCGAGAAACAATGGGCAGAGTTTCTTTCACCCTATGCCCCTGTTACCTAGCAGTAAAATAGGTACCTGGGTGTTAGTCAGCTGTCACGGGCTGCTTCCTGGGGGGTGGAGGCCTGGTCGAGGACCGGGCCGCGGGGACACTAAAAGCCCCGAAATCATCTCAAGATAACTCAAGATGTGTTCTCACTTATTTGTAGTGATTGTCACTCTAGCTTTGACTGGGACCTAGCTCCCGGGTCCCAGTCAAACAATGGCATTCGTAAATCATTTCAGGTAGTTATTGAAGTAATTTGGCTCTCATCTATGCCTACTTGAATATATGTACTTGCCTAATAGTTCTTTCTCGTAGCACTCGTGTCAAATTTCCAAACTATTCCACTGTGTACACTCACCTATTTGTACTTGGCCTCTCAGAGAGTCCTCATTCGTACTTACCTATTCGTGCTTACCTATTCGTGCTTGTGCAGAGATAGTTGTAACAATTAATCCAAGTCTATTACAGGTCATTAAAGAAGGTTACTGTCGCCAATTTGCCCTTACCACTCTAGTCATTTCCTAAACAAATCCCAACCACTTGGGCTGGACGGTAGAGCGCCGGTCTCGCTTCATGCAGGTCGGCGTTCAATCCCCGACCGTCCAAGTGGTTGGGGCACCATTCATTCCCTCCCGTCCCATCCCAGATCCTTATCCTGACCCCTTCCCAGTGCTATATAGTCGTAATGGCTTGGCACTTTCCCCCCCCTGATAATTCCCCCTTCCCCTTCCTAAACAAATCCTAACTATTTCTGAGCGAGTGGGTGAGTGTGTCTCACTCATACAGTGAGTATGAGTGAGTGAGACACTCGGGTTCCGGTATTCACTTGCCAATAATTCTCATCTGTCTTACTCACTAATTACTCACATTGATATCCATCTACTCGCCTAATGTTGACTTATTTCTTCCCGGATAAGATGTGTACGGGTCAAGTGTCAATCTTACGACGTGTCAATCTTTGGACGTGTCAATCTTACGACGTGTCAATGTTAAGACGTGTCAATGTTAAGACGTGTCAATCTTACGACGTGTCAATCTTTGGACGTGTCAATCTTACGACGTGTCAATCTTTGGACGTGTCAATGTTAAGACGTGTCAATCTTACGACGTGTCAATCTTACGTGTCAATCTTACGACGTGTCAATCTTACGACGTGTCAATCTTACGACGTGTCGATCTTACGACGTGTCGATCTTACGACGTGTCGATCTTACGACGTGTCGATCTTACGACGTGTCGAACTTAAGACGTGGAGGAGGAAATTCCCGGTGGAGGCAAAAACAAATGGGCAGAGTTTCTTTCACCCTGATGCCCCTGTTCACCTAGAAGTAAAATAGGTACCTGGGCGTTACAGCTGCTATGGGCTGCTTCCTGGGGGTGTGTAACAAAAAGGAGGCCTGGTCGAGGACCGGACCGCGGGGACCCTAATCCCCGAAATCATCTCAAGATAACCCCAAGATAGTCCTCAGGATAGCACCTGAGTAGTGTATACTGTATAGTATAGTATACGAGTATACTGCAATATAGTCATTAATACTTGGTTTGCCATACATCTGTTTTTATTTAATATTCTGTACATCCAATTTTCAGACATAAATTGTGTTTAATTATACAACTCTGTCCATAAACTAATTTAAAAACAAATTTATATTTTTAAATTCTGATGTCTTCAGA